CTTGAACCTGGGAGGTGGGGGCATACAGTGATTTGAGATCTCCCCATTGCACTCCAGCCTGGGCGACAGAGAGAGTGTCCATCTCAAAAAAAAAAGAATTGACTTGCCTGGATCTTCCTTAGAATCCCAGCTGTACTTCCCCCAGGCATCCCAGCTACCCACGCAGGGAAACAGTTCAGGCAAAGCAGCGGCATAAAGGCATGCAGTAGAAGTTTGCTGGGGAAACAGGGAGTGCATGAAGCAGGAGAAAGGGAAGCAGTGACTGTCCTCTCAGCCTTCTCCCCCAAGAGCAGAGGGAAATGGGTGTGCAGAAAGCTTCAGGTACAGGCCTTTCCTGCCCTGGTTCAGTCAGTCCCCACCCCAGGTGCTGGGAGAGCCCCAGCAGTGTCGATGACCTGGTAGAAAGTGCAGCAGAAGCCAGTTCCTTTTTCTTGCTCCTGGTTCGTCTGTGGAGGGAGGAGGGATGTGCACATGTCAGGCTCTAGGCCAAGCAAGTGAGGACCAGCTGATGGGGCGGAGCCTGGCACCGCAGATACGGACGGTTTCCCTGTGCAGGTGGTGGGGGGAGCCTGGAACCTTAAATGCGGATGGTTCCCCCCGTGCGGCTGATAAGGGGGAGCCTGGCACCACAGATACGGATGGTTCCCCCGTGCAGCTGATAGGGGGGAGCCTGGCACCACAGATACGGATGGTTCCCCCGTGCAGGTGATGGGGGGGTCCTGGCACTGCAGATACTGATGGTTCCCCCATGCAGCTGATGGAGGGAGCCTGGCACCGCAGATACTGATGGTTCCCCTGTGCAGGTGCTGGAAACTAGGGGCTTCCTTGGGTCCAGGTCTGCCTGTGATGATTACCAGGTTGGTTTCTGCTTAAGCCGACAGTCACAGGGCCCCATCCCCACCGTCTCTGCACAGCTTGTCTTAGGCTCTTAGATGTGATCCCCTGGGGCATCCTGGGGGAAGCTGCCGAGTGCTCCTCAGCAGCCACGCAGGGCTTCTGTGTCCTTGCCCTGCTGTCCTGGGCCCCACAGACACCGACTTGAAAGAGGCTGCAGCCACAGTCATGAGAAAGGCCCCTTAGAGGGGGCTCTGGGAGAGCCCCAGCTCTGAGTGGGAAGTGGGTGGAGGAGACCCTGGTGAGCCCCCATGCTGAGCTGGAAGTGGGTGGAGGAGGCCCTGGGAGAGCCTCGGCCCTGAGCCGGAAGTGGGTGGAGGAGGCACTGGACGACTGCCGGGCCCTGAGCCGGAAGTGGGTGGAGGAGACCCTGGGAGAGCCCCCAGCGTTGAGCTGGAAGTGGGTGGAGGAAACCCTGGGCCGGAAGTGGGTAGAGGAGGTCCTGGGCGAGTCCCAGGCGCTGGGCCGGAAGTGGGTAGAGGAGGCCCTGGGCGAGTCACAGGTGCTGGGCCGGAAGTGGGCAGGGGCGGCCCTGGGCCGGAAGTGGGCAGGGGAGGCCCCGGGTGAGCCCCGGCGCTGGGCTGGAAGTGGGTGGAGGAGGCCCTGGGAGAGCCGCGGTGCTGAGCCAGAAGTGGGTAGAGGAGGCCCTGGGAGAGCCCCCCCAGCGCTGAGCTGGACGGGGGACGGAGGCTGCTTTGCCTCCTCGGCTCCTCCTCCCTTCCCCGTCCTCCGCGGCTGCTTCTCCTCCACATACCCACTCGGCCTCCCACGCGGGGCATCCGCAGGCCTGCGCTGGGCCTCGTCACGGCAGCAGGGGCTGGGTCACCACAGTGCTCTTGATTGTGCGATTGCAGAAGCACCGCAGCTCTGAGGAGACCTTGCCACAGGGGTTTTGAGACGGGTGTGTGGTGAAGCGGAGGCGCCTTTTGCGGCCAGCTGGTCCTGTGGCAGACCCGGCCCGGTTCCCTTTGCGCTGCTGCTCGAGATCAGCCCCGGAGCCTCAGGGGTGGACGCGTCGTGGTCCCCGGCCTCCGGGAGAGAACAAGCAGCCGGGAGGACTGGGCTGGAAATGCCCGGGGCTCCTGTGCAGCGGCAGACACGCGACTCCTCAGGGGCGCTGTCAGCACGGGGCATCCGGGAGCTACGGGAGAGCCGGCTGCGTGCCTGCGTGATGGGGCAGTGTGTGTGTGTGCTCGCGTGTGTGAGTGACGGGGCAGTGTATGTGTGCATGCGTATGTGATGGAGGAGTGCGTGCGTGAGGGGCAGTGTGTGTGTGCGCGTGTGAGTGATGGGGCAGTGTGTGTGTGCATGCATATGTGATGGAGGAGTGCGTGCGTGATGGGGCAGTGTGTGTGTGCGCGTGTGAGTGATGGGGCAGTGTGTGCGCATGCGTGTGTGTGTGATGTGGCAGTGCGTGCGTGATGTTGAGGCAGTGTGTGTGCATGCGTGTGTGTGTGATTGGGCAGTGCACGCGTGATGGGGCAGTGTGCGCGTGATGTTGGGGCAGTGTGTGTGTAATGGGGCAGTGCGTGCATCATGTTGGGGCAGTGTGTGTGCATGCGTGTGTGTGATGGGGCAGTGTGTGCGTGATGTTGGGGCACCGCATGTGTGTGTGTGATGGGGCAGTGCATGCGTGATGTTGCAGCAGTGTGTGTGTGCGTGTGTGTGTGTGATGGGGGCAGTGCGTGCGTGATGTTGCGGCAGTGTGTGCATGCATGTGTCTGATGGGGTAGTGCGTGCGTGATGGGGCAGTGTGTGCGTGTGAGTGGTGGAGCAATGTGTGTGCATGTGTGTGTGATGGGGCAATGTGTGCATGCGTGTGTGTGATGGGGCAGTGCGTGTGTGATGGGGCAGTGTGTGTGTGCATGTGTGTGTGATGGGGCAGTGCGTGTGTGCATGTGTGTGTGTGTGTGATGGGGCAGTGCGTGTGTGCATGCGTGTGTGATGGGGTAGTGTGTGTGTGCATGCGTGTGTGTGTGCATGCCTGTGTGTGTGATGGGGCAGTGCGTGCATGATGGGGCAGTGTGTGTGTGCGTGCCTGTGTGTGTGATGGAGCAGTGTGTGTGTGATGTTGGGGCAGTGTGTGCATGCATGCGTGACGGGGCAGTGTATGTGTATGTGTGTCAGGAGGAAGTGCATGTGTGATGTTGGGGCAGTGTGCATGTGTGCGTGTATGTGTGTGTGAGGGGGCAGAGTGTGGGTGATGGGGCGGTGTGTATGTGTGTGTTTGTGTGTATGATGGGGCCGTGTGTGTGTGTGTGTGTGTGTGTGTGTGTGTTTGGCAATGAGCATATCTGAAAAGCCCTGGGGAGAGCCAGCTGTGTGTGTGTGTGTGTATGTGTATGTGTGTTGTCCGGCAGTGAGTGTATCTGAAAAGCCCTGGGAAGAGCCAGCTGTGTGTGTGTGTGTGTGTGCGCGCGCGCGCGTGTGTGTGTGTTGTCCGGCACTGAGCGTTTCTGAAAAGCCCCGGGAGAGCCAGCTGCATGTGCGTGTGTGCATATGTGATGTCGGAGCAGTGACCATCCTTGAGGACCCGCGCCCGACACAGCCGCCTTCGTCTCCGAGGTATGAACGTGATGGACGCATTGATGACTCTCGAAGGCAGCCCTGCCGTGTGCCCGCTGTGACAGTTGCTGCAGTGGGGTATGAAACGCCAGGACCATATTTCTGGTACCTCAGCACCCCCCACGAAGGAAAATGTCAGTGGAGCAAATTGCTGATCGAATACCTTGGAATCTGTAAATACTGAATTGCTCTGGCATTCACGTAAGATTCAGACTCGGGCAGCCCGAGAGGAGAGGCGTCTGGAACGTGCTGGGGGCTAGGCAGGGAGCAGCTGCCAGCGGAGAGACAGAGGTGCCTGAAGGCTGGGGCTGAGGCTGCCCCTGTGGGCTGTGGCTGGGGGTGTCATCCTGCTGGAGGAGAAGCTATGGGAAGTAGGGTAGAAAGAGCAGGGGGGCGGAAAAGCCACGTGCAGCTGTGACCACGGGGTTTTCTCTGAATTTTCATTGAAGGCTTTTTGGTTGGGGTTACGTGTGGTTTGCAGGCAAGCTTACTGTGACTCTTCTTCCCCAGCCCTGGGGAGGGGAGTGAGGAGAGCTGGGGTGCACATGGCGGGGGCTGCAGTCAGCCAGCCACCTCCTCGGAGTCTCCTATGCGGCAGCCTTGGTCTCTTCCCCGCACTGGCCCTGCGCTCACCATGGCTGGCCAAGGACTCCTCTCCTTGGTGACTTTGTGCTCCTGTGTGGCCCTAGCAGGTCCACTGCATGGTCGCTGCTCCACCTCTGTTCCGGCTTTGAGCCCCTGCTGCTGGGGACGGTCTCCTGTGCCTTTGGGGTCTCTGTAGGAGGCTGGCAGTGATCAGTTCCTCTGATGTGACAAGAACCTGTGCTAGCTTCTTTATTATTTATTTATTTTTGAGACAGAGTCTTGCTCTGTCACCCAGGCTAGGGTGTAGTCGTGTAATCTTGGCTCACTGCAATCTCCACCTCCTGGGTTCAAGCGGATTCTCCTGCATCAGCCTCCCGAGTAGCTGGCATTACAGGCATGTGCCACCACACCTGGCTAACATTTGGATTTTTAGTAGAGATGAGGTTTCACCAGCCTGGCCTGTTGAACCTGTTGACCAGGCTGGTCTCAAACTCCTGACCTCAGGTGATCTGCTCACTTCAGCCTCCCAAACTATGTAAGTTCTTTAAATGGGTGAACTCACTGATCTTTCCGTAATGAAGTAAGGTAGAAACTACAGCACCTTTATCAGGTCACAGCTGAGGCTCCTGAGGCCCTGAAAGGCGAAGGTGACGGGTGACAGGCAGACGTGAGGGAGTGCCGTGGCTGCCCCTGGCCAGACCAGGATTCTCCCCAGGCTTTGTGACTGTAGACCTGGAATCTTCATTGTGAGCCTGTCCTGGGTCTTCCTCGTGCTCCACTGCTGTGGGTGGGACCCTGGGCTGGACCTGCCCCTTCTGCCAGGCAGGGCCTGCCTCCCCCAGGCCAGCGGCCTCGCACCCTCTCTCCCTCGAAGGCATCCCCACAGACCTGCTCCTCCTTCCAGGCAGGGCCGGCCTCACTGAGGCCAGCGGCCACACACCCTCTCTCCCTTGCAGGCATCCCCACGCTCATCGTGCTGGATCCACAGGGCGAGGTGATCACGCGGCAGGGGCGGGTGGAGGTGCTGAACGACGAGGACTGCCGCGAGTTCCCCTGGCACCCCAAGCCCGTGCTGGAGCTCTCCGACTCCAACGCTGCCCAGCTCAACGAGGGTCCCTGCCTCGTCCTCTTTGTAGGTATGAAGCTCCCAGGGTGTGGGGACCTGGGCGAGGGGTGGGGGGTGGGGCAGGAGGGGCATTGCTTGGGAGGAGCCTGTCCCTGCAGCTTGTCTCTGTCAGGAGCAGTGTGGCTGGGCCTTTGTCTCTCTGGGAGCCTTGCTTTTGACCCCAATGATTTATTCATGGCGGCCTCTGTGGGAGCTGCAGGTGCGCTTGCCTTCCTAGCTGCTCCCCAGCTGCCAGCTGGGCAGAACAGGTCAGGTCTAGAGGATGCCCTCAGGGGCCCATGCACAGACCCATTGTTGGAAAGAGGCCGGCTGCACACACAGCAGCTGCAGGGGGCTGGACCCCTCTGGCTGAGGCTCCCCATGGCTGTGGCTGCTGATCCTCTGTGCTCTGATGAGCCGCTCCCTCCTGGCTCCTCCTTCCTCTATGGCACCTCCCAGTCTCCCATCTCACCCGTTGTGTGCTTAGTGGGTAATGGCCTAGCCTGGCCAGGAGGGCACAGCAGTGTGCACGCCAGGCTCCCAGTAGTATGGTTGGATGACCCTTGTTCCTTTTGCAAGACCTGGCCTCTGCCTTGGACTTCTCCCTCCAGCAACTCAAAATTACCGTACGAGGCTGGGTGTGGTACCTCACGCCTGTAATCCCAGCACTTTGGGAGGCCAAGGCAGGAGGATCACCTGAGGTCAGGGGTTCAAGACCAGCCTGGCCAACATGGTGAAACCCCGTCTCTACTAAAGATAGAAAAAAATTAGTCAAGTGTAGTGATGGGTGCTTATAATCCCAGTTACTCCGGAGACAGGAGAATCACTTGAACCTGGGAGGCGGAGGCTGCAGTGAGCCGAGATCTCGCCATTGCACTCCAGCCTGGGCAACAGAGCGAGACTCCGTCTAAAACAAAACAACAGCCTCTGAGAAGACCAGAGCCCTCACCGTGTCACTACCAGTTTTTTCCACCATTTTCACTGGGAAGCCGGAAGTCTGAGGTCCTGGCTTCTCATTCTGTAACTGAGAGAAACGGTAGCAGGGCCTCAGGTCCTGGCTTGAGGATGCTCAGCTTCTCCGGGCGTTTGTGAGGAATCCAGGGGAAAGGACTGGGCATCAGGGGCAGTAGCACTGCTCACTGGGGTGGGTTCCTCGGGTGAGCCCGGTGCAGGAGAGCGCTGTGTGCGAGCTTCGCTGGTGGGATGGGGGGAGGGTGCTGTGAGCTTCGCTGCTGGGACGTATGCGCTGTGTGAGAGCTTTGCCTCTGGGATGCGCGGAGGGCGCTGTGTGCGAGCTTTGCTGCTGGGACGTATGCGCTGTGTGAGAGCTTTGTGGCTAGGACTTGTGCAGACGCACCTGCACCTGCCAGAAGCAGGATTGGTGTCGGAGGGGAGGCCCATCTCCATTCTGGGGCTGCCCACATGGGCGTTGTTGCAGCTTAGGCCCACTCGGTGGGCACTGCTCTATTTGACAAGCCAGCGTTTCTTCCCGTCTTTTTTTCCCCTGACCCCCATCATAGATTCTGAGGATGACGGAGAGTCCGAGGCAGCCAAGCAGCTGATTCAGCCAATAGCGGAGAAAATCATTGCCAAGTACAAAGCCAAAGAGGAGGAGGCGCCGCTTCTGTTCTTTGTAGCCGGGGAGGTGAGTGTGGAGGGAAGTGAGTGTGGAGGGAGGTGAATGTGGAGGGAGGCTCAGCCCCCAGGGCTGGCTCCCAGGGCTGCCTGAAAGGACCCCAGGGTTGCCTGAAAGGACCCCAGGGTCAGAGTGGCCTGTGCTTCTGAGAGAGCCCACAGACAAATGTGGGAAGAAAAAGGGGTCATTCACCCTGGAAAACGATTTCCTACCCTGCGGCTTCCTCCTCCCGTCCTTCTCGCCTGCTCTGCTTGGAGCCTTCCCCCCAGGGGCTGCTCCACATCCGCAGTGCTGGGGAAGGCGCCAGGCCGCGGTGTGATCCACACCCCTCCCTTGGTGCTGGTCACAGCTAGGCCCCTGAGGCTTCACAGGATGCTGGACTAGGGCCTCCACCCAGGCTGCAGAGCGGGCCCATCTCACCATAGGGATCCGGCTGCAGCCACCACTCACCCCTGTGGTCACCCCGCCAACCCTGTGAGCACTGAGGCTGGAAACAGCCGCCATTCCCTACCTTTCACACAGGCTGCCCCTTCAAGGGCTCCAGTGGGGCTGGACCCAGGCAGGAAGTGTTTCACAGGGTGAGAAAGTGGGTCTGCCCACAGGTGCCCCTTTATCCAGGGCCTGAGACCCTAACCCTGCACCCTGCAGACAGGGCTTCTCTGCAACTCAGCCAGCTCAGCACAGGTGACTGAGCTTCTGCAGCCTGGGAGCCTCCTCCACGCATGCTTCGCTGCCTCCCACCCCACCCCGACCCACCCCACCCTACCAGCCAACAGACACTGGCTGCCCCTGCCCCCTCCCCTCCATCCACCCATCTGTACCTCCAGTTGGTCAGAGCCCTGGGCTAATTTCGCACTGTGTTTGGGTCCCAGAAGAGGCTGAGGAGACAGCAGACACCCGCAGCCACCCATTTATCCCCTCCACAGTAGCCAGCCTTGCCCAGCCCTGGGCCCCTCCCAGGCGGCTCCAGTCACCTGCTCAGCCATGCTCACTTGGGCTGGAGGGGAACAGAGAGGCTCACAGTCCCTGCCTTGGGGCCACATCAGCCTCTGTGCACAAAGCCCAGCCCGGGGGAGGCTGTGCCCTGTGTAGTAAACTCTAACCCTGCAGCGTGGCTCTGCACAACAGCCAGGGCTGGGTGCAGGCTGGGGCAGCCTTTAGAGGTGTGTCTGGAAGGAGCACGTGCGGGTGTTCTGTAACCCAGGCACGGAGCACATGCTTCTCCCAGGCTGTCTCCACTCCTGCCTTCTGGTTGGGAACAGAGTTGTCCTCCTGTTTCACAGGGGAGGAAGGCATGGTTCAGGGTGGGTGAGGGGCAGCTCCAGGGCTGTGTGCTGGGAGGAAGGTTCAGGGCAGGTGATGGGCGGTTCAGGGCTGTGTGCTGGGAGGAAGGTTCAGGGCAGGTGAGGGGCTGCTCCAGGGCTGTGTGCTGCTCCTGCCTGGCTGGGCTGGGAGTGCTGCAGTTCATGGACCCCTCAGTCAGCCCATGTTGGGAACCATCATCAAATCTGTTTCACAGGGGATGAGACCTGGACCTGGAGAAGGAAGTGACTTGCCAGAGTCATGGGGTAGGCAGGGAGCAGAGAGGCCAGTGGGACTCTGGGAGGCCTCAAGGGTGGCAGGAAGCCTCTGTTGTAACTGAATGAGTTAGAAGCAAAGCACCACACTCTGAGTTCCAAATTAAAAGTCGTTTATTTGTCAGCGATCGAGAGATGGCTAACACTCAAAATTCTCTTGGCCCTAAGGAAGGGGCTTGATTCTCCTTTCTACCTTGATGTGGGTAGGGGAGGGGGAGCCTAGCTGAAGCGGGATTGTACAGAAGCAGAAAAGCAGGTTAGATAAGGAGGCTGCTAACCAGGGGCAGGAGGTTCCCAGGATTGTTGGTTGCTAAGGGTATTTCCATATAGTCATCAAAGGGGGGTAGCAGGGGGAACTTTCCATACACTCAATCCCCAAGGAGGGTATTCAGAGTAGCAGGTAGACTTGCCAAGCAGGGCATGGTTACAGTGATTACAGGTGCTGTGGACAGTGTGAGCCACTCTCAGTGGTTCAGGGCTGTGAGTGCAGTGGTTACAGGTGCTGTGGACAGT